AGCATTGTCCGATCCATGCTTGGTGCAATGCAAGACTTAGTTAAGCAACTGCATGTTTTGGAGAAAATGCTGGGATCCAGGTACAAAGGCCACACTGCCTCGTTGGCTGCACAGACTGCCCTCGCTGCCTTCCTAGAGACAGAAGTACACACGACTGCAGAGACGGTGGAGCAAGCTATCCTCCTAAACCAAACGGAGCTCGCAGAAAACGTCGAGTTCCTTAGCTCCTATGCAAACCTGCAAAAGCTCGTTGCGGACTTAGATAACAGCGGAGAACACCCGTACTAGTTTTATCGCAGATCCAAGGGGTCATAGATCGAAAAGTCATAGACCGAAAAGTAATTGACCGCAAAGGTCTTAGACCGCAAAGGTCGTAGACCGCAAATGTCGTAGATTGCAAAGGTCATACATAGGCCGGGGAGCTAATGGGAAGAAATCGGTGTGTCGGCAGTTGAAATCGAGTTACCAGCAGTTGAAATGGGCAATCGAAATCGTGTGCACACACACTTTTTAGTCTTTGTTGGATGACTGAAGCTCAGACTTGTACTCGTCTAGACTGTAAATATGGACGTTGCTGATTTTATTGACACGGCCGGTGGAGGCACCGCCGCCACTGTTGTCTTCTCCTCGTCGTCGAACGCGTTTTTTCCTACAGAAGCATTAAAGTATTGGCGTGATGTACTTACACTTCAAGCTTTTTCATTTTATCTTTGTTCCTCATATCTTCCATAATAGATTTCATCTCGGGTAGTTTGATTTGATTCCATATCTCCTTGATATCATGATCAATGTGAAAATTTTCATCAAGACATTCATAGTCCGGATTATCAGATGAAGGTCTAGCTTTATTATACAAAGTTAAGTTTCTAAGAACAGAACAATTATCACATTTATTACCACGATTATCGTAGATACTACAAACAAATCCTGAGTCATTATTGAATGATTTACATTTACCGATCTTGCCTGTTCGTATAGCTCTAATTTTATGTTTTTCTAACAACTGATTTATCCAATCCGACATTTTAGGATTAGAATCTAATAGCTCCTGATTTATTTCTAATCCATTTATGGATTCATTTATACCCTTCTCTAATGAATCGACATTAATGTATGATTCATATGGTGAACGGAATGACCATTTTCTTTCTCGATTGTCATAATTAATCCGACTATTCTTTCTTAGAATTGAAACAAAGTTAGGATCACTAAATAACTGAACATAATATTGACCTGTATAAATCTTGCTTGGATTCGAACCTGCGGCTAAAGCTTGTTGCAAATCATATGTTGTCATAGACTTAGAAGAATTACGTAATATATCTTGACATCGTAACAAAATCATACCCACCGATTGACCCTTCAACAACTGTTCTGATACCTCACGGTCATCTAAAGGATTAACAGAATAGAACACACACACGCACACACATTCCTGGTGATAACACATTTCTGGTGATAACACATTTCTCGTGGGATAAATCATACCATAGTCAGCCATCGAATTTAAACGGCAAAAAGAAGTATAATGGCGGCTGTCTCGAAAGATTAAAAACATCAACTAACGTAGACCTGTCTTCAACATAGACCACAACATGGACCTGTCTTCAACACAACATGGACCTGTCTTCAACACAACATGGACCTGTCTTCAACACAACATGGATCTGTCTTCAACATAGACCAGTCTTCAACATAGACCACAACATGGACCTGTCATCAACATCACTTGATGATAATCGGGAAGTTAGTTGCTAACTTCTCCAAAGCTTGATAAGTCCTACAACGTCGCTTGAAGCAAGAAGTGATTTTGTGTTAGTTGTAGTCACCGACAGGGTCGCATAGCTATGTCCTTTAAGTTCTTCGACGACTTCAAAATCGTTGTCATTAAATGCTAAGACTTTGAGTTTATGATCCTCACTAGCACTAATACAAACGCAATAATCTTCCTGTCGAATAAGACAGGAAGTGATTGGTAGACAGTTATGTGGATTCTTAATTCGTTTTTTAACGACGACCTTGTTGATTGAGCAAGATGTTAGTCCGTAATTGATCTGGCAGGTTATAATATAATTATCTGCAAGATTGACTACTAGATGGTTAGGTGCACCAGGTACGAAGAGAACACTGGTAACAGCAGATTGTGTGCTGCCCATACTGACTTTATCAAGGTACTGTAATTTGCTGTCTTCACCTACTTCATAAGTAGCGATGGAACCATCCTTAGTACCCGCAAGCATATTTAGTCCAGCCACATCAAAGCAAATGGCCCTTATTTCACTATCCACTTTCATACGCTGCACCACCTGACCCTCTTCGGAATTAACAAGACGGATAACACTCTTCGCATTAGACGTGAAGAAACATTTCGGATTGGTAGGCATCATCTTTGCCACCAAAATCGGTACCGAATCAGAAAAGATCTTTGCCGGGTAACCATGACGATAATCCCAGAAACGGACACTGCAATCCACGGAGGTAGTGATGAGATACTCGCCTTCCTGTGAAAAAAACATTGATGTCACCGCTCTCTCATGTCCATCCAAAGGCTTCCACAATCGAACATACTGCTCTGGAGGCTCTCGCCATTCCTTCTCAATGGCGTCATTAGCCTCTTGCTCAAACAGGTATGGACCAGGCTCATACTTTTGCCTCTCACGCTCTGTCATCGCCACCTTAAACGCGTACACTGCACCTGACTTTGTCCCCGCACACAACAGGAAAAACCGTCGTGTACAATGCACTGGCGCGAAACATACACATGTCACCGCTGCCTTGTTCGGCACCTGCATCTCTTGCCATACAGACGCGCTACTACCCGTCTTCGGACTCGCCACACCCGGTCCGGTACCGACACTCGAACCTCCAGCTGCCACGGAACCTCCGTGGCCCGCTGCGTGGCCCGCTGCGTGGGCTGGGGGCAGGCTGTCCTCTAGAATACCGTAGGTCGCCAGGCCCGCCGACTTACGAGGAAACCCGCTCTTCGTACTCTTGCCGTTGCCGCCGCTAAAAAGCGACGGGATCATATGAATCAATTCCGTCACGGGGTTGGAAGTCTTGTTCCGACTCCCAGCTGACTTTGGCGTTTTCGTCCGCAGTGTCTCCTTCAGATCCTGCAAAGATTTGACAAGACAAATCTTCTCCGCCGATATCGATTTGGTCGTATGTTGCAACCATGGCAAAATCGCCGAAGCCGGCGCCAGATTCAACGCATACTCCTTAGCACAATAGTTTACAACCGACGCATCCAGCTTCCTGTCCACCAAAATCACTCGCCCTACGGAACCTTGCGATGAAACCTTGGACCACACACGTGTGTGCTCCGCACTTTCCAAAACCGGGTTGAAAAATACAACAGTAGACGAACGCAAACGAGTCGGCGACGGCTTATACTCCGGCGTGTCCAACAACTGCTCCATCTCACCAGGACGATACAACGCAACCTTCAACGTCGACATAGTATTGTCTCTAACGAACAACATGTCCAACTCCCGCTTCGGCTGTTTCTCCGTCTGACCAGTCTGCGCGTTCTGCACCGACTCAGCACTCTGACCATCGGCGGGTGGCGGAGTCCATAGCGGGGCGTGGGCAATGGCTTTGAGCCGGTCCATGTTCAGCTCGTCATGAGTTATATGGCTCGTCAAATGTGCGACAAAGACGTTCTGAACCAGTGCCTCCAAGTCACTGCAACAAAACAGAACATCAGGCAGCGGTACTTGGCCCTCCTTCTTCAGCACCTTCAGGACGCAGTCGAGGTACTCCTGATTGCCGCCGACCTCGGTCCTCAGAGTGTTCTGGAGCGTCTCCAGTTCTCGGCGCGCATGCGTTGCCTCGGCCTCCAGTTTCTGTCGCTCGGCTTCCCACGCTTCATCTTCGCTGTCGGTGGAACTTACGGCGCCAGCGTCCACTGTTGTCGCCTGTGCTGCCGCCGGTTCCGCTGCCGCTGTTTCCGCTGCCACTTCCTCGGTCCGCGGAGCCTCCGAATCTGCGCTGGGGTGCCGATGGGTCTCTGTAGGAACAGTCGTGACCGGGGATGTACAACTCTTACCCTCCTCACCTGCTGCTTTTAGTGGCGTCTTGGACATGTCTCGTGTCCCGGCCTCGTCCACAGGACGTCCGCCGGAAGCACCCGCTCGCGCCCGCGCGTCAATCGCGCCTGGGCCATCTTCATCTGATACCTGTCGGGAAACATCGCGGGAAGCATCGCGAGAAACGTCCGTGGAATAGACGCTACCCGTCCCCCGGAATTGGTCAATGAGCTTGTGCAGTTCCGCAACCTCGTTCTGCAACCGTTGAATCGTCTCCAAATCCGCCGCCCTCGCAACCGGGCTCGCGACGGCCCTGAGGGCGGTGGGGGTCCCACCGCCAGCGGTGGGAGTCCCAGCGACTGCGTGGGCGGGGGCCCCAGCGGAGAAAGTCCCGGCGGTCGGTGTTCCGACCATGCTGGCCGCACCGGGGGCCTGTTGTAAGTCCTGTATTGCAACGTCGGCGGCGCGTAGTGCCTCTTCAGAGACTCGTAGAGCGTCTTCGGCAGAGTGCCGTGCATTTTGTGCTTCGTGAAGAGCGGTCTGTGCGGAATCGAGATCAAGTTGAAGTTTTTTATTCTTGAGTTTCAGGTCGGTCAATTCTTGACCTGTGGCGCTGTTGAGAGCCTCCAATTGTTGTATCCTACTCTTGGCATCGGTGAGCTCCTTTTGTAGGTCGTTGACTTTGTTTTGCAGGCTGGATGTGTTCCTTGCCTCCGCACGCAATTCCTGTAGTTTTCGTTTTGCGACGAGACGTTTCTGTTTCAGTTGGATGGCGACGATGGAGGCGTGAACCTTACGGTACCAGATTTGCTGGCATCGGGATCGTAGCCAGGCTTGGAGTTTAGTTGCCGCTTTGTGCTCTTTGAGATTTTTGACGTACGCTCGACCTTGGATGCCGCGTATACGTCTCTGGATGGCGGTGGCAGACTTGTGTTTCGAGCGTTGGCTAACACGAACCAAAAAGCCTTGAGCAATCCGTGTTATGGTGAGGGCTGCGCGCGCTTCACGCCGCAGTTGTGTTAAGGTTCGCGCTTGCCGGCTTCTTACCGCACACTGGATGGTCAGAATCGCCTCACGCGCAGCCACATACCATCGTCGTGTGCGCGCGCCATTCCATACTGCCTGAATCTGTTTGACTGCCTCCTGTCTGCGTTCTGCGCTCTTCGTTGAGAGTACAGCGTACGCCTGTGACTTGAGGAAAATCATCGTCTCCCCAACCGCCCAAGAATAGCCGTCGCCATGGGGTGCTTTTGGGATATTGTAAAACTGATCCAGGCTCTTCAAACACACAGTGGCCCTCTCCCGGTCACTCATGGAGCCTGATGACTCGGTCTGTAGTTGTTGGCGGAGTTGTTTTGGTAGCAGACATCGATAATTCTGCCAAAAACTCACATGCGTATCTCGCACTGGGTAGCCAGCTCGACTGACTTGTACGGCTTGCAGGACACCAGCATACCTCAATTGTTCAGCCACAGACGGTCGATGGAACAAGTCCGCTTTGTTCTTCGGGTTTGGTTTAACGCATCGAATGAAATGGGGGTCTGTTTTGTCAATAGTGTCCATGAGTGAATTTAGTTGATTTCGGAATTCGAGAGAGACAGTCATAAGCTTCTTCTTGGTCATCTTACCCGCGGAACCTCCTGAGGCGGCAGGGGGATGTCCTCTGTCCAGATAGTTGTTGAACAGATGGCTAATAAACCTGTTTTCGCTGGCCTTGATACAGTCCTGTATATCTACTCCAAGTTGGTCTCGATTCTTATCCAGGAAACCTTTGGAACAATAATTAACAGGTCCTGCAAAATGGTCGACTACAAACCAGTCCTGACGGGTCTTGATAGGCTTAAATCTTTTGTGCGTCTTGTACTGCTCTTTCAGCTTACTACACAGACTCTGATCGCTCCCTTTAGGAATGATACATTCCTCATCCAGCATACACAGGATAGACAACTTGTTGGTTGCCAATAAGTCGACACAATCTTGGTTATCCGGGAAGTCAAGAGGGTCCCATTGAATGCCTTCTTCTTTATACAGTACTTCTTCGCACTTGAAGATAAACATGTTAAAGAATTGCTGGAGTCTTTCGTTAGTGTAATTAATACACAGTTGCTCAAATGAATTTACATCGAAGCATTCGAAACCGAAAATATCTAAGACACCACAAGACACTACAGATGGTTTGGAGTGGACGAGTGTATTTGAGTCAGGACTTGATTCGGCTGCCGAGGTATCGGGGGTAGGGGTGGCTATGAGGTCTGAGTGTTCAACATTGCCACTACGTCCGATGGATGAATTGGTAGCTCGTACGATGCGTTGGAACATCGTGTGATACAGGGCTCTAGCTAGAGCGTCTCGTGCATCTTCCGCTTGGTCGACGGTAAGACCTTTGGTGTACTTCTCCCTTTGGACAATGATCATACGAGTCGTGAGTGCCTTCTCTAACAAATCCGGCTTGACTCCTAACAGTCCCGACACGGTCTCAAGGTTCTCTCTCATTGAAGCGTCTACCTTACAGGACTCCACCGATGGTCCACTTGAAGAGAAATAGATGCTACCCAACAACAAAATGGTCCCCAGTAACTGCCACATATGCTGCTGCTCTTCAGGCGTAATCTGCACGGTCGTCATGGCTATGCATGTGCGCTTGAACTCATCCAAGTCATCTACGCCTGGAATACTCACACAACCGGAACATGATACGTACCGATTAGAAAGCATTTCTTCGAACGATGAAAAGTCGTATGTCACTGGCTGGGCCAGCACCGTATTCATCACCTTGCCTTCACCGTTCAGACCGAGACACTCATCAACCATTTCCGGCGTCAAGGTGAAAGTGGGGCCCAGGCGTACAGCAGCTGCTAGCTGGTAAAAGGCGTGGAAATTACGCTCATTCAATAGCTGTCGACATACACGTACCGTCTCCAGCAAGTAGGTGTGGATTTCGGCACCGGAGAGTCGTCCTATCACACCTGCGTACTTGATGCTTTGCTCAAGAGTAAATTGCATCTCAATAAATTTCCCGAAACGGGAACTGTTGTCATTGCGCAGTGTCTTGGCGTTACCGAAAGCCTCCAATAATGGATTTGATTGTAACACCTGATTCTCGATAGTAGACTTTTTGTCTTCTGAACTACCGGCCATTGCGAGCAACTTCATTACGAATTTCGTCGATTCCGTTTTTCCCGCACCCGACTCCCCAGAAATGAGAATCGTTTGATCGTTCCCTCCCGACTTCGCGGCACCAGTCTTACTTCCACTCGCAGTGCCTCGACATAAACCGTGATAGGCTTCTACGGCTACAGAAAACACGTGCGGTACACGTTCCACAGAGTAGACTTGCTCGTAGGCCTTGTCAATATAACGCCGCAAAATCTCATCATCGTACAACCCACGAATCCGTTTAAAAGGATTCACGGCGATCAGGATGGGACCAGTGTACGTGTAGATGGCATCCGCATCAAACCGCCCGTTCAGCGAGTTAAGGATTGCTGCCTCATGCAAGTGCGTCAACTGAGTCAAGTCATCCAACGACTGAATGCCACTAGACGTCATCACCTCGTCGTTACAGATCAAAAACTCCTCCGGCACCGCTACCACCTCATCCGTCAACTCGAGCCGCATTTCGCGACCGCCTTCCAACACTTCGCCCTTCACCCAAACCTCATCACGACAGTCTTCCGGAGCACGGATCCACACCCGCGCCCCCACTGCCACCGACGCTCCAGCAGCCTCGACGCTGGTTCTCATTTGCCAAAAAAAAGTCGAACTTCTCCTCTCGATTATACATTCCCCACGCATTCCCCGTACTCCCCCTTGACTGCCTCTGCTGTTGGTTGCCCCTACCTCTACAGCTTGATCACTTCCCAACAACCTACCTCCCTTCATTACAAACTCGCCCCCTTTGTCTCCCTGCCTGATTAACCGATTCTTTTGAGATTCGCGCGCACGCGCGCGTGTGTTTGCGCACTCGGAAAATGTTGGTTGGGTCTGTGGCTAGGCGGTCGACTGGCCATGAGTTCTTCTGTGCAGGGAGACGTAGAGGGATCCTGAAACAACTGACTAACACAAGCACAGAGATTTGGGGCTGTCTACTTGGCAGATTTTTGTTAATAATCTTTATAGTGTGAAACTTTGTTGCCGGTCTGGGAAAACAGTAAGTAAGGCGCCACTGCTTGGTCCTGCATGGAGAGGGCTTCACTACGGGCGGCGGTGCGTGACGGGAGGGGGGCAGCTTCACTGAATGGCAACCCTTCTGCAGTGATTCCAGCGTGGGCTATCGTTCTTATCTGCATTGCGGCCGTCATCTTTGTCTTGACTCCACTCTACTGTTTCTGCCGTACAGCATGTGGATGTCTGTCGTGCTTCTTCAAGATTCTTTGCTGTCCCTGTAAGTGTTGCTGCAAGGCCATAGGGTGTGCCGTCGGCGGTGATGATGACTCAGACGAGTAAGTGCTAACCGTTTGCCGGACAATCCGGTCACATAACCAGAAGGGGTCTGATGACTAGAATATAAACAAGAAGACGAACAAGGCGATGGTGGCTTCATCACAGTGAGTGGCAGATTAGAGAGCGACAGGATGGGGTGATTCGGTTATCAAGTTAGCTGGGACGAAGTATATTGAGGCTCAGGACCCGGCTGCAAGGCTTGATTACGAATCAGGTGCATAGGTAGCAGGTGCATTCGTAGCAGGTGCATACGTAGCACGAGCATACGTAGCAGGAGCATAGGTAGCAGGAGGTACATGGAGAAGTGACAATGCTCCGTTTATAGTCGAGGACTCTGCGAAATGCTCAAGGACTACAAATCTTATGTGGGAACCTATCTCTTCATGCTGTTCAACTTCGAACGGCCTTGATGATCTGTCGTGAGACGCCAAGGTTGTGATCCCAACAGGATCGAGATGGATTACAGATGTCCGCCGACAGTGTGTCCACCAAGGTATCGGAGTTGTATCGCATTTTTTAATAACACCAACAAAGAGTGTGTTTGTTTCGTGCTTTTTGAAGATCTGGGGTTAGAAGCAAGCCTAGAGACCAAGTAAGTCCAGAGGCGATTTAGTCAAGGAAAAAGTCTAGAACCGGAATATATGTTAAAAAGGGCGGAGAACTTCATGAAGTGATGGCACCTGAGCTGCCTCTCTTTTATCCCATATACAGTAGTGAGGATGATGATATGGTGTTGAGATCTATCTCTGATGTTGATGATGGCCTTTGCAACCGTCCCAGCGGACCGTGTCTCTTAGTACTAGCCGTCATATGTCTGTTGCTTCTTTCTCTCGCGTTGTTACTTACGACGGACTCGTCAACCTCCCTGGCCCTCTGCGCAATAATTCTAGTCGCACTGTGGATCTTTGCAGCCACCAGCTCAGTAGCGGCCAGCGGCTCAGTGACCACCACCTCCGGGGTCAGAGGGCCTTTTGCCCCTCGCTTATTTGGAACTTGCTTGTCCAGGAACTGGTGCGCCGGAAGGCCACGGCTTCCGGATAGCATAGCTAGAGACAGTGTTGTGGATTGGAACGGACATGCCGCGACATCTAATGTATTGTTCCTAACGGCTACCACCTCCCTGTTCATTCTATTACTCATTCAATATCGAGACTTAACGCTTTACAAACGTGAGCTCCACTCCCTTGTCCCGCTGTACATACGTCGACTACACCCCCTTGTCCCGCTGGCCCTGGTCCCCGTTGGTTCCCAAGCTACCCCGGTGGTTCCCAAGCTACCCCGTTGGTTCCCAAGCTAGTTTGCGCAGCTCTCTGGATTCTTCTTCATGTCTTTTACTTTCTCCAAGTATTGAATAGCGCGAAGCGAAGCGAGGCTGCCGTCGACGACTTCGGAGGTCGCAGCTTGCTCGAAGCGCCACTTGACACCAGCTTGCTGCGAAACTCTTCCACCACCTCTTCGCTTTGGCTAGACCCAGAGTGGTCACCACCAAGACCAAGCATTTTCTATCTCGACTCCGGAGATCGCCAAGATCTTTGACCCTTAATTAAGCCAGAAATGCGTGTGCACACGCGTGTGCACACACAAATTCGTGTTTGCGCTTCCCGAAACAGCACAACACACACGTGTTTGCCCCCGGCCGGTACCACACGCGTTTGCGGAGGCGTCGCCTACGGCAGTGGACATCAGCCAAGGCAACAGAAACAAGTCTCAGCACGGGTTCAGACGGCGAGGCCTCTGACTTTTTCTCCGGAGCTGCTGCGACGAGATGGCTGCGGATTAAATTTGAAATTGCGCCAGCATGGGGGCCGAAGAGTCCGACGCCCGTGATTGCAGCGCGCCGGCGGCCGCGGTGGAGTGGGAAGACCGACAGCACCCAGCCCCCCTGGCGGAGCACTTGCACCTGCGCGGGCCAACTTCCTCGGGGCAGGTGTCCTCGGGAAAGGGCTCCTCCGGGCAGGCGTCGCCTGACCCGGCGGGAGGGTCGAAGCAGCCGCGTTTGGAGAGCCCGACCAGCGTCCCTACATCTGGGAACCCTAAATCTGGCCGCCCTACATCTGGTAGTACAGCTTCCGTGGGCGGAACCTCCGGGGATGAGTTGCCTCGCAAAGGGCACTTATGGTTCGGCCGGGTGGACTGCGAGTCGGTGCAGCCGGACACGAGTCGGCCGTTGGTGCAGGTGGCGCCCATGCTTCACTTGATGGACCGGCATTTCCGGATGTTTCTTCGGCAGTTGTCGACACGCGCCCAACTGTGGTCGGAGATGGTCGTGGACTCCACGATTTTGCACGCAGAGGACCTTGAGCAGCACCTAGGCTTCGACGCTCGCGAGCATCCGATCGTGTGCCAGCTCGGCGGGAACGACCCCGCCAGCTTGGCCGCCGCGGCGCAGGTCGTCCGTCGTTGGAACTATGATGCCGTCAATCTCAATGTAGGCTGCCCCAGTCACCGCGTCGTCGCCAAGGGCTGTTTCGGCGCCGTTCTCATGAAGACGCCCCACCTCGTTTCAAACATTGCCCAAGCCATGATCCGGGGCCTCCAAGCCGAGGGCGCGGAAGCGGAGAAAGCTCCCGTGCGGCCATGCCCGGTGTCTATAAAGACGCGCATTGGACTCGATGGCTCCATCGGCGGCGAGTGGTTGGAGCGGAACATTGCGCTTTTCGGCGCGTCGGGCTGTCGTGACTTCGTTATCCACGCGCGCGAAGCCAAGTGCGGCCTCTCGCCTGCCAAAAATCGATCGATACCACCCCTAAACTTCGACGAGGTCTTTGAACTGGAACGCAAGTTCGGCAGCCCGGAAGGGTATTGTGGCTACGGGGCCGACGCGATCGGCGCCAACTCAGTCGGTGAGCACCCACTCGGTGGTGCGGAGGGGGCCGCGTTTCGGCCTTACCGGTTTAGCATCAACGGCGGGGTGCAGACGTTGGACGAGGTTTGGGCTCTGTTACACGTGCCCTCATATCATGACAGCAGCCGTTCGGCGCTGGACGGCGTGATGATGGGACGCGCCTGCGCTGACAACCCTGTGGTGCTGGCAGATGTGGACCGGCGAATATATGGGGACCGCAACCCAGAGACGGCGTATTCTCGTCGCAGCGTCGTGGAGGGATACATCCAGTACCTGGACACCGGAACGAGGATGGGTCGTGCTCCAGAGGAGGAGGTTACGCTTGAACACTCTTTCCGCTACCTCCGACCCATCTCCGGCCTATTTCATTCCACTCGTGCGAGCAAGTGCTGTCGCCAGCTCATCGACAAAATCGCGCGCTCAGACCTCGAGAAACCACAAATCAAACTCGCCCGTTTCCTCAATGAACTAGACAACAAGTTTCCCGAACTTCTCGTCGCACCCCTCGTCCCCGAGGAGGCCCGCGCTGACCAATAATGTTACCAGAAGTGGTGACCAGGCTGTGGTTAGATGGACGGGGCGGGAGCGACCGGACGGAAGGCTTGGCTGTCGCGGTCGAATGGTGGGTTCAGTGAACCCGGTCTAATTATAGTTTACGTTTGGTTTGATGGCGGGTTTTTGACCAAAATGATTCGAACCAGGTTACAAGCATAACAGAGAAAAGGCCGACCATCCCTGTCTGGGGTATTGTTTGGCAGAAAGCTTGGAAGTAAATCTTTGTCGCATTATCTCATGACGGCACGATCCGTACTTATTAAGACTTTGACTCGTTTTGCGTGGTTTATTTGGATCCTGTAACGGGAGATGTGGGGATGAAGATGGTGAGGGCGGCGGCATGGTGAAGGAAGGGGTAGGGGAAGGGTACTCTTTGATTCGATGTCCGATGTAAAATTCCCCATCGACTTGGAAGTAGACTCGGGGAGTTCTTCTGCCTCTCCGTCGTTTCTTGAAGGAGATGAGAACGTGCTTAGCGCTTTGGGTCACTCTCATTCCCGAGGAAATGTTGGGTGCTATATGTTGAAGATTCGCTAACGACAATTCCAACAGAGACCGAAATGCTACGACTTCTAGTCGGGCATCGCTGACTCTCTGCTCACCGACAGCCTGGTTAACGGACTGACCCACGGCTCCCTCCATAAGAGCATTCCAAATCTTGTCACTAAACTTTCTAACTATATAGGCGTCAGATATTCGAACATCAGACGCTGAAACGCCAGACACCGGGACGCTAGACACCGGGACGCCAGACACCGGGACGCTAGACACCGGGACGCTAGACACTAATTCAGCTCCGGTCCCGCTATGCGGCGTGTTGGCAGCTCGTGTGGGACCGTCAGGGCTACGATCAGTACTGCCTGATTTTATTTCGGGAATGGGTTGGCACTCCGAGCCGGCGGAGGGAAGACTCGGTGGATTAACCCAATCTTCCCAACCCGGCAAGGGTCGATCCAGTCCACTCTTGCCAGCGGACGACTTCCAAATATCTAATCCACCAGCGAAGGACGGTATATTCAGCATGACCAAGGAGACACAAGCTAAAGGTCAATTATATGTCGTTCGTGTGTTATCAATAGACAGTGTGTGTTATATTACGTAAGAGGATGGGTGCGCCGTTTGGTCGTTTGCAGTTAAGGTAGTTTTTCGTGGAGGGGCACCAACAGATCGGCATCCACTTTTGGGTCGAGTTATTACGGACGTCGATGTGCGAGATCCATTCGTTGACGTATAGGCTGCGATGGAAAAGAAGTTTCTTGAGGCCTTCAAGGACGTAAGCGGCTCGGTTGAGTAAAGCGCTATCCGTACGATTTCGGTCGAAACCGATCCCGATTCGTGACTCGATCCCGAGACTGAAGTAGTTGACCATGTCCAGCTCAAGTTGGGTCTCCTTGCCTGGCCGTTTCTTCCTCGACACAGGGTCGATCGTGTCGAAGTGCCCCGAGGGATGCGTTGCAACCTGCACTTTCCACACGTCACACTCGATCTCGCTCAACGCCACCCACTCCTGAACAGAAGACACAAACACCTCCATCGCGCTCTGGCTCGCCAACGCGAAGTTCTCGTTCTCATCGCACACCACCCGAACACGGCCATCCAACACGCACACGCCTCGACAACAACTCGACAAAGCACCACCACTCACCTTACTCCCACCCTCACTCACACCACCACTCACCTTACTCCCACCACCACTCACCTTACTCCCACCACTGGCCTCGCTCCCACCACCACTGGCCTTACTCCCACCACCACTGGCCTTGCTCCCACTTCCACTGGCCTTACTCCCACCACCACTGGCCTTGCTCCCACTTCCACTGGCCTTACTCCCACTGCCACGGGCCTTGCCTCCAGTCCCAGTGTCACTGGCTTTGGTCGTGACCGCTTTACCATCAGGAGAGCCACGTTCGAGGCTCAGACGGGGCCGCGATCGGTGACCGCAAAGGGATTGGTAAGACAGCCCGCGGCACGCGCAAAGTCGTTGCCGGTGCCGAAGGGGACGATTCCGACGGCAACTTCGGGTCCGACGGCGTGGCTGCGGAGACAGTTGATCGCCCACATGAGTGTGCCATCACCGCCGGCACAGAGCAGCCTGCAGCGGACTCCGCGCTGTCGCGAGACCAG